GGGGGGGGGGGGGGCATTAAGACCTGCGGAAAAATGGCTCGCCGGGAAAGCGCTCGCGGATAGTTCCCGTCGCTCTCGAGAACGAGGCGATTCGTCTCGCGCGCGACGGATTCGCGCGGGCGGAAATCGCTCGCTCGGTCCTTTCGTAACGTCGCGTGCCTTCCGGCGACGTGGATCTATTTTCGGCCGCGATACGCCAAATCATTTTTCTCCGGCGGCCACACATACACATGCGCAACATATTCGACTTCCTCGCCAAGTCGAGAATAAAAGTTCGCGTGTCCCTATGAAGCGGGGAGCAGAGCGAGAGCGGAGAGGAGAACCCCGTCGTGTGCGCTCTCCCGCTCGAGAGAAGCTTTCATCGTCCGAATGCAACGGGAAAACGGATTTTACCGGTGCCGCTGTTCGGCAGATGCATTCGCAATATCCCTCTGAGCGTGGAAATGCGCACACTTGGCCGTACGATCGAGCGAAGATAAAGTAAACCGTGCGAAACGCGCGTGCATGTAATAGTAACGCGTTTAGCTTCGATCGTAATTATCCGTCGACTCATCTATACTTTTTCGTCAAGTTTCCGCGTCTCCTTCTTTCACTTCGACGGGCTCTTATTAAGTAACATGTAGGCCTGCCACACTATGCGTGTTTTCTTTTCCATTTATCTCCCTGTTCCACGTTGCGTTTTTTATTTATTTATTTATTTGTTAAACAGAGAACACCCCCTTTTTGTAACATATGAGTGCGGTAGTAAGATAGATTTTGTGCAGGACGCTATACCCTACTCCTATTCGTCTATTAGTAATAGTAGTAATAATTATTCATGTGGGTAGATCTAGTACAGACCCTAAAATTATGTAGATCTGTCCCATTACGTTAACATCCTATAGTTTTATTTATGGCCATAACCGTAGTTCTAGTCTTTTATCTGAGACGAGGTATAATAGGCTCACTAATTTTACTTGCTCTATGTTTTTGAATTCTAAGAAGGTATTCCTCTGTTACTTAGAAAAAAAAAGTTAGGTTCACTGCTCTATTATTAGTATGATCCAATAAGATAACTCATTTCCTGGCGGCAACTAGTCTACAAAGACATTAGATCGAAATTGATAATAATCTTAATAATCTATAAAAGACTAAAAAATACAAAATACCATGATTTTCATAATTTTTTTCTTTTCGTAATGTAGTCCTGACTGATCTACGATGTTACTACAGCGTCAAAATTACGGGTGTTACTCTCAGGGTTAACCGGATTCTTATCAACCCTGCGCGGACGTGTCGAGATATTCCAGACAAGATATTGTCGGTATTATATATAATATCTTTATCGTTTCGTGTTTTGGGAATATTTCGACGCACCAACTAGGAGTTGTATTACTGGAACTTTCGAAACTTCAGTATAATTCAACATTTAACGACAAAGTTCGAAGATTTGAAGTCGAATTATTCCAAGCTTCGAATTTTATTCGAAGATTCGAAATATCAAAGCTATTAATAGAGCTAATCTTGAGAGAGCAACAATGCCGTATAATTATCAATTTAAAGTATCTTTAGTTCAGTTCTGAGATTTGTATTTGTTTAGTTTAAAACAAAAAAGAAAGCGAATGAAAAAAAGCATAAATAAGAATACTTGAATTTCGAAGTTTCACATTTCAAAATTTCATTATTCGAATATAATGTGTCGAATATTCAGAAATTCGGAGGTTCGAATATAATTTTTAACTCTATCACCATTCGTTTCCGTCACGCTGTTTGAAGCACGACTTTTTCCTGCACAAGAAACGATTAAAACGATCAAAACGATATATTTGAAATCGCTGTTTGCAACGTTTCATAGCAAATGGTAAACTCGCTTGAAAACATCGCGTACACGAAAGGGTAAACGGACTTTGTTTGAGCTCAGCGCCAGCTGGAAAACGAGGATATGTCCTCGCATTCGTTCCACGTGGCGCAGAGGTCGGATTCTCTTGTGTCCCGAGAATTTTTTCGTGCGACACACGTGGCTTCAATGCATCCCGTCGCCGATGGAAGAACCGCACGTCTGTTCCATTCGCACCTTCGTCGCCAATTGGCGAAGTCGCACGTTACATTGACAGGTAGCCACTTAGCGGTGTTGTTAAACTTCCTTCCTCTTGGAGCGTGCACACGTGAACGACCGTAGCGACCAATCGCAACGTTTTGTTGCACGTCAAAAATCATACAGGCAATCACGAAAAAAAAGGAAAAACCAAAATATAGTCTGCCACGAGAAGGTTGCAGTATTTTTTTCTCGACGAGCTTCGCAACGTATTTTGTATCCAACAGGAAAATATATCTCCTGAGAATTATTACACAGGGAAAAAGTGTTAGATTGAAGAAAATAATTACTCCAACATTTCTTAACAAATTTTCACTTGAATTAAATAAATTTCATTTGAATCAAGTAAATATTTTACTTGAATAATTTACTTGGAAGATATTTTACTTAGATCAAGTAAATATTATTTGATCCCGAATAAAAACTTGCTAAGGAATATCGGAGTAATTATTTACTTGAATCTCATACTTTTTTCTGAGTAAAGAACAAATTCCCTTGTTGGATATTAGATACGTTCAGAAACTTATAAAAACGTGCTTTGCAACCTTTCTTTTAACTGACCGTACATTAAAATCAAGCGACATCCACGGAACAAAAAAGGAAGCATATAAACTACATGGCCAAGGGCAAAAAGCGGCAGTCCGGATCGAAGTCGCGACGACCCTCAGACACGTCGATGTTCACATCGTCGGCAGGAATCACCGGCGAAATCGGCCACGATGAAGCGTGAAAGGTACACGTGCGTCGACGCGAGGCAGGTCTCGTTGTTCGCAAAAGAAGCGAGACAGAGGAGCAGAAGGAAGAATCAGAGAAAAGAGACTCACTTATACGCAGGGGAGATTCAACCGATGGTCCCGGACTTTCATCGACGACACTGTTTCTCGCGACGGTGAAATTTAATCGACCTCCAGGATTTTCCTCTTCCTCTCGCAGTTCCACACCGCCGTCGAAGTCTCGAGGGTGCGCTCGACGAACGCACGTGACGACGGGGATTAAATGCCTTCCCCGGCGAGAAACGGTCGGTCGTGCGACCGGCTCTCTCTTTCCTCCTCTTCCTCTCTTTCTTTCTTTCTCTTTTTCTTTCTCACCACGACGACAGGTCCTCGCAACGCGACGGTCGCAACGAGACTGAATCGCCGCCAGTCCGTCGCTGCTCCATCCAGCCTGGAAACAGCTGCTCTCCCTGCCGGTGCCAGAAAACCGCGCCGGCCTCTTTCTCTCTCTCTCCCTCCCTCTCTCTCTCGCTCTTTCTCTCTCTTTCTCGCTCGTTCTCTTTATCGGCGGCCGTGAGTCTCCTACGGCGCGCCAAGTGCATCTTTCCGCGATGCCTCCCTCTTGCACCTCTCTCGCATCGGTGCAAACCTGCCGGTGACCTGGCAAGGGGTGCGCAGGGGGCAACGCGGGGGTGGGGACGGCGAACGAGCCTAAGAAATCTCGCTCCTACGCGAGGTAACTTATCGGTGCACTCTATCGCGCCGGATTCACTACGGCGACGATGACGCGCGTGGGACGCAAAGAGCCGAAATCAGTGCTTCGCTCGCCGCTTCTTTTTTGCTTATTCCCTTTTTTTACCGCGTCTCGCGCGCGCCGATAATCGTGCCTACGGCGATCCTTCGTTTTCACTACTCCGTTCTTCTTGCGGCTTGTGCGATGAACGTTCGTGGAAATCGATCATTTCGGACTTGAGGGAAGCCGAGAGAGAGAGAGAGAGAAAAGTGTCGCGACGTCTCGCATTAGGGCCGTAAAGATCATTCACGTGGCATCGTGTGGTCATCGCGGGGACGGCGTTATCCGGCCCGCCGCCGTATATTCTTAGATCGCGCGAAAACGCGCGGTTCGGGGCGAAGGGTGAAAGAAAGAAGGAAGAACGAAAGGAAAAAGCCCTGGTAGAAATGTATGCAGTTTTCTCAAACATCCCAGTCTGTCTAGTATTAATGCATTCTCATTAGTTGTAACAGTATTGCGAATGGACAAGAATTTGATAGTTTTATTCAAGAATATTGTTGAGATAAAAATTGCGCCCGTTTTATAAGCAGCAAACTCGCTTATTTAATCGATTGATTCGTCTTTTTTGCCATTTATGTATTTTTGTTTTCGTTCATTAAATGAGTGCAAATTTTACGTATTTTTCGTACGCAGTAACTGCGGGAAAAGCGTTACATTTTGTAATTTTATTCTTCAGTTATTAGACAGAAGTTAACAAGTTGTCCAATAACTGCTTAAAAAATACGTAAAATTTCTATCAAGAAGTTGTAGTTTAAGAAAACTGTTTTTTCTCTATTTTTTCGCGGAAAGAAACCGAGAAGAACCGCGGAAAAATTGATTTAAAAAAACCGGTTTTTCAGAGTTTTTGAAGTTGTAAAAAAAAGTAAAGGAAAACCACCACGCCCAGACAAATTACGTCCGTCCTCCTCCCGCGCTAATCGAGAGCACTAATAATCATAAATGCGTTGACGGCGACGGGTTATCGACGGTAAATTCGCGCTTTATGCAAAATAATGGTAAGCGTATCAAAGCGCGAAGCCGAGGAGCAGCGGCGGCGACCGTAAAGCTTTTAGCGAAAATTAGTATCGAAAACGCCGGTACGCGCGCGTCGTGCCACGGCAGTAAAATCCCCCCGTGTGCGCACGCACGCATGCACGCACGCACCCGTGCGCGCGTCCACACACACACATTTCCCACTGGCTGTTTCGATTGTAAGGGCGAAGGGGGCGGCTTTTATTCGCAGGGTATTAACAGGCGACGACGCTACTTGCGTCCGTTTCGTGCGACGCCTCGCAGTAACACCTGCGCCACGACTCATTCTTATTTTATCCCTCCTTGTCTCGCTTACTCCGCGAAATATCGCACGATATATCGCGATCACAACACTCTTGCTCCCCTCGGGCCGACTCGAGCGGAATCTTTATTTCGTCCACGAAGTTTGTGCCACGTGGCGTCCGGGCTTTGCTACGAACCTGCTCGGAACCTGTTCGGGTTGGGAAACTCGCGAGTCCGCCGAGACGACTTCGTCGTGGTCGAAACTCTGCTGCGCTTTTCTAAACTCGGATCCGACGATGAAATTTTATGCGGCTGTAGACCCCGTTACCGAAATTAAGAAAACATATTCCGGTTGAATATGTCATTAAAAAGATTATTTTATCATTTCCATAGAGAGAGAGAGAGAGAGAGGGAGGGAGATGTCTATTATTTAGATATTAATTACAATATTTAAATTTTTTCGGACGCCCATATTAACAAATTAAATCTTTTACCAAGCTCTAATAACCAATTTACAGAGTGTAATACCGTGACCTTATTAACGATCTTTTAGACGCAATTTAGGTATATCTGAGAACTGTCACTGAAAATTGAGCGGTAATCGAATTTTCTCACTACAACGGACAATTTATTGCTGGACTCGGTAAATAATACACATATGAATTGAACTCTTTTGCCAATATCTATTTTTCCTCATGAAAAATAATTAGGATACATATTTTATCGGACAATTAAATATGAAGTCTTATTTTGAGTAAGAAAATGTCAACATTGTACTAAGATATGAAGAAAATATTGTTCACGAATCTTTGCATTGTGTGCATGCTTCGTATATTCAGTATATTCAGTTAGAGAAAGAACAAAATTAAAGTTAAGTGCTTGAAAACATTCTTTAATTGTAAAAAAGTTTAATGTCTGATAAATTATATACCACATGAATGCTAACACTTTTTTAATACTTGTTTACAATTTTCAAAAAATATTATCGTACTATTTTCAATCACCTTACATTTTATAATTTTTTAAAAAAATTGGCTTCTGCTATCATTAGGGAACTTTTATCCTAATCGTCTGACGTTATCAGCACTCGAACGGGGCTCCGTGAAACGTTGGGACGGCTTCTACGTCTTCGCGAAGCCGCGATGACTTCGCGATGACGTATTCCGCATCTCCGCATCGGTGATGTAACGAACGTATACCTGTAATGACGGTAAACACGGTTGAACACTTATCTCGCTCATTCCACCTAGAAGAAGAAAAAACATCCAATTGATTACCGATCGATGAGACTGTAATTGATCTCGCTTGACTCACGACGAAGATCAATGTTCTGTCCGAGCTGCGTCCGAACGTCCACGGGGGCCTCGCTTGAAAGAACTCTCATGAGCGTTTGCCAGGTGTTCAGCGACATTTCTTTGTCCTCCGTAACGCAATGCGGATAAATTAACCTTTATTGCAACGGTGGCGTCTTTGTCTCGACGTGGTATTTAGTTTATCAGTGCAAAATCAGTCGAGTGTCAAGAGCACACGTGCCGTCGCCTCTCTCTCTCTCTCTCTCTCTCTTTCATTCCTGTTGCCGTCGGTTTTTTTTCCTCAGCCACTTCAAAGCATAATTGCACAGTCTCATAGATCACACGCGAATATAAAATTCGAGATTACGTAATAACGATTCTCAGGAAGGAGAAGTCGCCAACTCAGCGGTTTAGATTTTCGTTGGGATATTTAGTGATCCGCTGTACAATTGCAATTATTTTGCACATGTGAAATAATATGGATCTCGAATCGCAATCGTTAATAGGTAACTTCGTTCGTTCTTAAAATCTTCCTCCGTTTCTAAACACACATACCCAATAACAATTCTCAGGAAGGGAACGTCGCCAAGGTTCAGATTTCCGTTGGAAAATTTTACGACCCGCTGTATAATTGTATTTTAGTGTACGTAATAACGTTTCTGAGAAATGCCGCCAACTCGGCGGTTTAGATCTTCGTTGGGAAATTTTACGACTCGCTGTATAATTGCAATTTCATTTTACACGCGTGAAATAATACCAGGATCGCGAATTACACACAGAAAAAAATAATCTTAAATCAATGATAGATATTCTCATATATTAATAATATAAGCAAAAAAAACATTATATTTTTAAAAGATTTCTAGTCTTGAATCAAATGCAAATAATACTTGCATCAACAATACAAATTCAATCAAATCAAGATAAAAATATTCTAAGATTTATATATATCAGAATATCTATCATTGATTTAAGGCTAATTTTTTTCTTTATGATCATTAACACAATCATTAACTCTTCTCTTTCATTCTCGAAAACTTCCCCCGTCCCCAGGTACACGTATGTATCTAATATTTCGTCAACGATCTGTTAATATTTTAATCGCAAGAGATACAGTTGAAGTTTTTCGAATGGGACGAGCGAAATTAACCGTTTTTTCGCCCGCACGAATCTTGCGCCTCCAACGCGGACTCCGTCACGAGCGCCTTTATAAACGATTAGGTCATCATCACCCTCGCGGCACTTTCATTTGCACCGACCGAGTCGCCGGCGTATGCGTATCCCGGATGCGATCATTATCATTAAGAGTCGCCGGGCCTTACGTCTCTCTTCCACTCGCCCCACCGTTCACCTTCCGCTCGTCTTTTTCTGAGGAGACAAGACGACCACGCGCGCCCTGTCATGGCCCACGCGACACCTATTACGGCCAATCGGCCCTTCAAATACGCGCGCTCAACGACACCGGACTATTCTCCAATCTCGCCCTGGAATGCATCGCTCGCACAGACGGTCGCGCACAATGAAATCATATTATCTAGTCGTGTACGCGCCGACCGGACGAAGGAGAATCAACGACGCGTCGCGCTAAGGCGAAAGCTTTGCCCCTGCATTGAGAGGAAAAAATGTTTGCTTTGTAACTATAGTGAAGGAATTATATCGAGTGAATGCAAAAGTTGGATGGGTTCCCAAAAACTGTTGTAATCAATATTTTTCTATTGAACTATTGACATACATGTTTATTATATATCGTTGGGAAAAAATTAAAAAATCATTTTCGAAAAAATGCGGATAAAAAGACTTTTTATAACGAAACTCGTCAAAACTTTTGCATTCAATCAATAGTTAGGAAAACCATTTCTTCAGTAAGTGTTATTACAGTGTCAGTGATAATAATGCTTTACACGCGTATTGATGCTTCTATTTTTGTGGTCGAAATCTGTATATATTTAAGATAGTATATATTTAAGATGGTAGTAGCATAAAATGAGTTCTTTAAAGAATTCGTAGAAATTTATACTATATGTAGATTTAAATATGGCCTAATTATTGGCACAATTAGAAAACGATTAATCGTTCGAAAATCAATATATTCGCAACTCAAGTAGAACAGAAAGTATAATAAAAAAACTATAATAAAATAAAAAAGCATAATAAAAATAAAAATATAAAAGTCAAGACGATGTCAAAATGATATCATTTTGACATTATTTTAACATAATCTTGACTTTCATATGACTTTTTTTATAC